CAACAACACATTGATTACGCTGCGTAACAAAAACACTTATTTTGTTTTGTTCCTGGGTAGTAAGTGTTATTTTCCAATTGCTTATGCCTCAAAAGTACAGACAATGGCTCTTATTCCCCACCAACTTTGCTTTTGTGACCAGGACAGTGATATTTTTTAAATGTACCTATTTTCAATGAGAAAACGTGTGACATTTGTGTCCTGGTCACAAAAGCAAAGTTGGTGGGGAATAATAGCCATTGTCTGTACTTTTGAGGCATAAGCAATTGGAAAATAACACTTACTAGCCAGGAACAAAACTCGTGTTACACAGCGTTATAGACTGTTGGGCACACCCAAGTGCTGTTAGCGCCCATTCAGGGTCGGTATGGTGCATGATGGGACGGCTTATATCCGCAGCGCGCCTATCCGCCTTTGTCTCCCTATAGTGCTGATGTTTACACACCAAAGTGTTTTCTTCAGGCCAAGTCGACCTAGGGGAAGCCCGTGACCAGTTATGATACCACTCGTCTATCGATGTCAGCCGTGGTCGGGAATCGAACTCAGATGGTAGCGCAGTGCGTCTATCACTCTGCCACTGTTCCCCCTCCAACGTCCATACGCGACACGTACTGTGTATTGATAAAGACAAAGATCCCCCGTATATAGCCTTAACATACTGTTGGGGCAAGTGCTGTTCGCGATAACCTATGAAAGCCGGAACGGCACACGAGGGGGTGGGTGGTCAGCACCACGGCTTTCCGCCTTTGTATCCCCATAATAAAGGTTTTTGGGTTAGATCGTGTAAGAAAAATGTGTCGTAACCCTCCATCACCCGACAGCCAGTAAGGTTTGTCACGTAAACAACGAGCAAATAAGTTACTACTTCAGCCCACCGGTGTGTTGGAGAGTAAATCCACAACATTTACCCAGTGCCGATGTTTACACACCGCACCAGGTACTCATTTGAGGCTGAGTCAACTTAGTATAGAGGCAGATGCCACCCCAACCCACCACCACAGTAAGTAGTTAAAGCCATGGCAATGCCTCTCGCTCATCCTCCTGAACGATGCGTCCCTTTAAAAGGCAACGCAATAATACAACTCACTGCAGATAACAGAACTCTTTCACGGGGTGGCCCACGTCCGAATGGCAAGATATATCCAGCTCTGGGCAATCGGTTGTGCCCAGGCCTGGATATTTACATCCACCCACTGCTGACTTCAAGTGTAAAAATTACGGATCCAACGGGGTTGTTGAAATAAAGACTGATAACAGCAGAAAAACCAGAACAGGTGTCGCGAGGGCACATACAGGGATGCAACTGCTGTACAACGACCATATCTACCGTACGGCTACTACATCGAGACAATTACTGAAAACACAGAGGATGGTATCACCTGCGTCATTCTTAAATGCTATGCCCAAGGGCAGACACACACAGCTCCACAAAAAGATGCAGTTTGGGTTCATAAAACATCTCAACGCGACCGCTCCTCGAGACGCGTAAAACCCGGAGCCTCTGGAAGCATTGGGCACGAGCGAACATCGAGATAATTTGTAGAAGAGATGGACTCTGGGTTCATAGGTCAAGCGCCCTCCATCTCGGCCTACACGCTCATCCCCCGCACTCCGCACTCGAGATGGTGAGCCACGGCTAGAGGCAGGGTATCTGCTCTTGACTTCCTCATCGGTGTGTGTTAGGCCACACCATCACCGGAATGCAGGTGAATCGTCGTCACGCACCTGTGAACCTTCCTCGACATTTCTCCACTGCCGCCACCACCGCTCTCTGGGTTGGAGCTGTAGCCATTACAAAATGTCTAGGGTTTTTGTTTGTTTGTTTAAACCCGGTGCGTTTAGTTTCTTAAACGCGACATTTCATCATCTCGGAAGGAAAATGCCGCGACTGGATTTTGATTGATGGCATTTACTAAACCGTGTGAGATCACACGAAGAATATCGCTCTTGCAGTGGTGACGGCTCGTTGTGCAGACACCAGACAGTTATTTTTTTGTCATCAAAAAAAACAACGTTGCGCCTTATTGATATGCATATGCATTATCGACAATGGCAGCAGCTCATGATTTCTGGAGTGTTGGCGCCGTCGTTAGCCGCACACCGCTGTGAACGCGACGACTTGAGTTGAGATGTCAGTCCATGGACTGACCAACGGCGTGTGGTCAAACGAGTCCCGTCGACCCGCACGGCGCAGAGGAGGACTCTCGGCCAGCAGCGGACTGACAACGAGGGACTGCAACGCATGCCCACGTGATCGTGGGGTGTATCAACAGTGATGTATTCATTACCAACGCTCCGCCGCTATTTGTGTGCACAGAGCGCCGTGAGCGTTGTCACTGCGCTCCATGCAGATCGGAGCCGGTCCCCTGTGATGGCTGTCGGCGCGGCGCGGCGTTTGGGAAATGATTAAATTACAAAAGCTCGCATTTTTAGGAGGAAACAAAACCGGCGCTCTCAAAGGACCGGGAGCTTTCCAGCGCATCCCAGCACTCGCCGGCTGCTTTACATCTGGCGTCGTGGCTGGAACTCTTAATAATCACCTGGGCGGCTGACAGCAGACGGTGAGGCCGAGCAGGAGCTGATTTAACAAGAACGTCACCCTGAAAAGAGCACCCCCCACCCTGCCCCCTTTGCTTTGGGGGTTTCCACATTTCCACCCCCCCCCCCGCCCGCCTCTCCAATCGTACAATCAGCGCCGCGCCACGAGAGCCCCGTGTCCCGCGTTAGAACCACGGCGGCGTCGGCGCCGTGGAAGGAGATATAACGGAACTACTTCTGAGAGCCCTTTGAGTATGTTTGTACAGTGTATGTGTGTGTGTGTTGAACCTCTTTTGTACCGTACGTAGCCAACCGTGATAGTCGGTGACGCACAGGTGAAACATGAGCGGCTGTAGAGGCATTGTTCGTCGTTGCGTGGCAGTTAAACCAAAGTGTGTAATTTGTGGACTTTCGCCAAAAATTAAGTGGGGAAAAAAGAACCCCAAAATTTATAACGATTTTTTATTTTTGCAGTCATTTGTGATTGGGGCTACGTTTGAGAGACCGATTTACCCACGAGTGACTGACAAAACTGACGGAAATTGTTACATCAGCAAGTTTTTTTTGTGCTAATCCAATAATCAGTCAAAAAGATAACCGTGCCTATAGTTGATATAAAAGAGGTACACGGACACTGCACTCTCTTGGGGGGGGGGCGGTGTAGTGGTTGGCGCACTGCGCCATAAACCAGATTCCATGGGACACATCTAACGTCATCGGACAGTGGCATCTGGATTGCCCCTTGCCCCCACCCCTGAACTGACCCACGATTGCCCGGCGTGTGTCAGAGTATGGCCAGACAACCCCCATAACCGACACAGCATTGAGTGGTCTTCAATCCAGCAGTGGATTAACGAAGGGCTGTGAGTGAACATGGATTGCTCAGCATACGCATGGAAGAATGAGAATGAACGAAAACTATGATGGCCAGGTGAGAGGGCCCATTGTGTGGGCGAGAGTCGTCGGGGTTTGGCTCGAGGGCGTAACCGCGACGGTTGTTTGTGTGCTCTGGGTAGGAGCAGCGGGGGATTCTGGGGAGGTAGGCGCAGTGAGGGCTGTTTGCGGAGAGGAGCGTTGTCAGAGACGCGATAGTAGAGGTGACCTCACAGCACCAACCCGAGCCGGTCCTGACCAGCAGTGAACGATAGGAGGATGGGGTGGTGGTGTTGGTGGAGGAGGCGGGTGGCCGGCTGGAACGGCGTGGGGAGGGGGGCATTGGTAGGATAGGAGGCTGGTGTGGGCACAGGTTCTCTCACCACGTGCCCAATCGCTACATCGCAGTGGCCTAGCTGCCCCGCGAGTGGCAGCAGCGTCTGTTCGTAACGGGTGAGTGGTGGAGTCGTCTCGTAAGGCCGGTCACTTTTCCCAGCACGTGGTCCAGCCGTGAGTGTCAACTCGCGCGCGCGTGGGCAGCGGTTAGCTGCGAACCTCGGCGACCCGAGTTCGATTACCCGCTCACGGCCAACACCCAGTGACCAATATCTGAACTGGTCGTGGGTCTCCCCGGTGTGGTGTGTAAACATCACCGCTGGGGAGACAAACAAGGCCGGGCGTGGTGTTATTAACTCCCCACCCCCTCCTCGTGTGCCGTGGCGGTCTTCATAGGGCCGTACGAGGCCCGCGAAATCATTTGGTGTGGCCCTGCCAAGGCAACCGCAGGCGGGACTCGAAATTCAATAAATCTAGGAGCAAACCTGGAAAAGCAGTTGCGAGTAGCAACATCATCAATACCAGCTAACATCACACGCCTCACCAAAGAGAAGAAGTTCCAGCCATCACATTAGGGGTGAGTTCATTAAATGTTTGACCAAATATAACAACGGGCTGATTTTTAAGTTGATAATTTTGTATGGCCCGCGAATGATGTTAGAAATATCCAAATGGCCCTTGGCAGAAAAAAGGTTCCCCACCCCTGGCGTAGGCACTTGCCAACAACACTTTCCCTAGCAGTCTGTTGAAGGCTATATGGGGGACTCTTTGCTATGTGCCTGCGATAATAATTCACGGAATAATTTTCAAGACACTGCCGGATGAAGGATGAAGGGATCGCCACGCCATATCGACTGATCGGGGGAGAAGCGGAGGGTTTGTTGACGGCCATACTTCACCATGCTGGTCAGTGCGCTGTGCTAAGCGCGGGGTCGGTAAAGAGTTGCGGGGTGAGGGGCAGTGCTCCAATTATTGACGACCTTATAGTATTCCTATAATTGTTTTTTTTACATTTATTACATAACCTGTAATGGGACGGTTGATTCGTTTCGTGTGTGTGTGTCTGTATCTGTAAGGGGAGAGTTGGAGGTGTAGTGGGAGGTGTGGAGGAGTAGTGGGGGGTGGTCTTGTTCTGAAGTCCCAGGGGAGGGAGGGGGGCAGCGAGAGCCCTGAGTGTGTCCGTGTGTGGAGGCAGGTGGAGGCAGGTGGAGGCAGGTGGAGGTGGGTGGGTGGGTGGGTGGAGGCCCCCTCACCTGTCTGTTGGCGTCCAGCAGGTGCAGGCGCATGTGCTTCATGTAGGTGGTCGTGAGCGGCAGGTTGTAATCGATGTCGTCCGAGAGCAGGGCGGGCGGGTGCTCGTTTTCTGGTGAAGTTGCGGACGTCGTTGTGTTCAATGTGGTTACGGTGGTTTTTTTGTTAGGGGGGGGGGGTAGTGGGGGGAGAAAAGAAGCCAAAGGTAAGAGAAGAATTAATACAGGGACTGCATTCGACGTGGAGTTATCGCGTTTTATAATAATCATCATCGCGGTTTCAACTTGTACACGGTATTCGCTCGCTCTCGTAGAGAGGGGGCGGCTCAAATGCCCGAGGGCGAAGGCAGCAGCCAGGCTGTTGAGTTGCCACCAACAATTGCCAAAGCTCCGCGATCCTCTCTATAGTAAGTTGTTTTCTCCGGATGCTCCTGTGACGGCGTGTGCGCTCTGGGCATTACAGGGTCGCGATGATGAGAAGAGTCGTGGCGGGCTGGTGTCGAACTGCAGATGAATAACTTTTAATTAATTCTCTGTTCGTAGGGGAAGTTCAGCGGAGCACAATAAACAATACGATGCAGGTGTGAAATACAAATTACAAAGTCATGGGAAGATCGTATCGAGGTTATTATTCCCCTTATTTACCCGAGAGAGCCTCAACGGGTGTCAACACCCTTGTTCATGAGGAGGGTCCTGCCAAGTGGTTTGCCATAATGAAAGATTAATTCTGTGTTTCCCAAATAAGTAATTGGTCTATTTTGATTTATTTGGCAAACTTAAAGCTCAATGCCTACACACAATGGCCCACTCTTCTTCAAATGACATCACGGAATATTCAACGTCCACTGTGGAGTGGACGGCACCGAGTATTCGATGGTTAATTCACACATCGTAGTATTACCCAGGGCGTCCTGTCAGAATCAAACCGCGATCCTGTGCAACAGGCGGCAAAACGCGCTGCCGCCGGGCCACGTCACCGCCACGACAATCATTACATCGTGAAATCTGACATCACGGCGACCCCCAGAGCAGATGCGGGGTGGCCTGGTGAGTGGCGGTGCAGGGTGGCGAGTGGTGGCGTGGGGTGGTGCTGGGTGGTGCTGGGTGGTGCTGGGTGGTACTGGGATGGCGAGTGGTGGCGTGGGGTGGTGCTGGGTGGTGCTGGGTGGTGCTGGGTGGTGCTGGGTGGTACTGGGATGGCGAGTGGTGGTGTAGGGTGGTGCTGGGTGGTACTGGGATGGCGAGTGGTGGTGTAGGGTGGTGCTGGGTGGTGCTGGGATGGCGAGTAGTGGCGTGGGGTGACGCTGGGGTGGCGAGTAGTGGCGTGGGGTGACGCTGGGGTGGCGAGTGGTGGCGTGGGGTGGTGCTGGGTGGTACTGGGATGGCGAGTGGTGGTGTGGGGTGACGCTGGGGTGGCGAGTAGTGGCGTGGGGTGACGCTGGGGTGGCGAGTGGTGGCGTGGGGTGACGCTGGGGTGGCGAGTAGTGGCGTGGGGTGACGCTGGGGTGGCGAGTGGTGGCGTGGGGTGGTGCTGGGTGGTACTGGGATGGCGAGTGGTGGTGTGGGGTGACGCTGGGGTGGCGAGTGGTGGCGTGGGGTGGTGCTGGGTGGTACTGGGATGGCGAGTAGTGGCGTGGGGTGACGCTGGGGTGGCGAGTGGTGGCGTGGGGTGACGCTGGGGTGGCGAGTAGTGGCGTGGGGTGACGCTGGGGTGGCGAGTGGTGGCGTGGGGTGGTGCTGGGTGGTACTGGGATGGCGAGTGGTGGTGTGGGGTGACGCTGGGGTGGCGAGTGGTGGCGTGGGGTGGTGCTGGGTGGTACTGGGATGGCGAGTAGTGGCGTGGGGTGACGCTGGGGTGGCGAGTGGTGGCGTGGGGTGACGCTGGGGTGGCGAGTAGTGGCGTGGGGTGACGCTGGGGTGGCGAGTGCTGGCGTGGGGTGGTGCTGGGTGGTACTGGGATGGCGAGTGGTGGTGTGGGGTGACGCTGGGGTGGCGAGTGGTGGCGTGGGGTGGTGCTGAGTGGTACTGGGATGGCGAGTAGTGGCGTGGGGTGACGCTGGGGTGGCGAGTGGTGGCGTGGGGTGACGCTGGGGTGGCGAGTAGTGGCGTGGGGTGACGCTGGGGTGGCGAGTGGTGGCGTGGGGTGGTGCTGGGTGGTACTGGGATGGCGAGTGGTGGTGTGGGGTGACGCTGGGGTGGCGAGTGGTGGCGTGGGGTGGTGCTGGGTGGTACTGGGATGGCGAGTAGTGGCGTGGGGTGACGCTGGGGTGGCGAGTAGTGGCGTGGGGTGACGCTGGGGTGGCGAGTAGTGGCGTGGGGTGACGCTGGGGTGGCGAGTGGTGGCGTGGGGTGGTGCTGGGTGGTACTGGGATGGCGAGTGGTGGTGTGGGGTGACGCTGGGGTGGCGAGTGGTGGCGTGGGGTGGTGCTGGGTGGTACTGGGATGGCGAGTAGTGGCGTGGGGTGACGCTGGGGTGGCGAGTGGTGGCGTGGGGTGGTGCTGGGTGGTGAGCGGTGGCGTGGGGTGGTGTAGGGTGGTGCTGGGTGGTGCTGGGTGGTGAGTGGTGGCGTGGGGTGATGCTGGGATGGCGAGTAGTGGCGTGGGGTGGTGCTGGGTGGTGCTGGGTGGTGAGTGGTGGCGTGGGGTGACGCTGGGATGGCGAGTGGTGGCGTGGGGTGACGCTGGGCGGTGGTTCGGTGGCGGGGGTGGCGCTGGGTGGCTCGGTGAGCGGTGGTGCGGGGTGACGAGCGGTGGCATGGTGGTGTGGCGCTGGGTGGCACAGGGGTGGCGCGCGGGTGGCGAGCCGTGATACTTGGGGCTCACCCTTGTGCTCGGCAGCGCGGGGGCTGAGATGCATTCGCTTCTGGCACTCGGTGCAGCTCATCAGGAACTTGGTGACGGCTTCCCGTGGGAGGAACGCGTACGTCTCCGAGATCTTAACGACGATGGCGATGGCGCCGAGGCAGAGGCGGACAGACGGACGGATTGACCGATTGACGGACGGGCACAAAGGGAAGAGCAGGCCGACAGACACGCAGACGCGCGCACACGCACAGACGGGGACACACGGACAAAGACGAACGAGGAGATAAGGAATGGGCGGAGACATGGATGGAGAGGTGGACAGGTAGACACACCGAATAAGGCACGGGCAGAAATAAACCGGTTGGGCTGCTCGACCAAGTCATTTGGAAATAAACTCTAAAAACCATAAACTGTGTTTCTTTATTTTACCAGATAAAATCCACTGAGTTTAACACGTAGGCTTTCGCGACCAGTATTCTAATTGGCGTTTTGTTAACGTGACACATTTTCTACTGATTGGCCGTGTCGGGTGGTGGAGGGTTGCGACACATTTATACTCACGCGATCTAAACCCAAAAACCTTTATTATGAATGAAGCCCACGGAGCTATGTAGCTCTTTTCAGAAGCGACACGGCCACCAATGGCCAACCAAGTGGCTGATTACGTGGACATGTATAGCAGCAGCCACATACTCTAAACGCGTGATGTTGACTCTATATGTGGAGGGAAAAACCGGTGGACCTCGATAAAAATCCACGCGACTCCAATTATACTGGCGTCAGGGATAAAATACGGTGATTGCAGAGCTCTGATTCAGTTAGCGCCATGCCATTGAGTTTGTGGCCACTGTGAGATGGCTCGTGAAGTTAATCATAAATGTGTAAATGAAAAAAAATGTACACAAATATAATTGTTGCGATGATGACAATTTCTAAAGGAACACAATTCGTACGTGCAGGGGCGTTAGGAGTGTGGATGGCATGAGGCCTGGTTAGAAATTTGATCGGGGGTGGGCAGGTGGGGGGGTCCAATTGCCCTCCTCATGGCCCGGCGAATGAGGGGCCTTTCCAAGCCGTAACTCCCAGGACAGGGGCACTGCCTGTGCAGTCAACTTCTCCGCCACCGTGGTCGTCCCCCCCCCCCCCCACAGCGTCGACTCCTCGACAGCAAGGACAAAACCACCCACGATGCGTCCCATCTTGCCAGGTCTTGAAGGCTAAGCAGCCTTCAAACATGGTTCGTACTTGGATGGAGGAATCCCTGGTGGGGGGGGGGGGGAGGTCCCAGGCTTGGTCTGCGAAGTGGCCAGGCGATGGCAGTGCGCCAGTGGATGTTTGAATCTGTGTGGAGCTCAGACTGTGTAGGGTTTCTCTCGGTTCTCTGGTTGTCATCCCACGCCAAGTCACAAATGGAATTGGCCATTCATACTATTGCTGGAATCTCCCTTAATAAATAATCTTGAGACTCAATTAGTTTTACCTCGAGTAATGAAAGACCGTTATTATTACACACACACACAATGTCTCAAATTAATTTAAGTCGACATTTTATATATATAAAAATACTGGCTACTTAATTTGCACATGCAATAGTGATAATCAATTTGTCCAACATTTAAATTATTCAATGCATAAAGTTCTTCACCGCGTCTGTTTTCGAGACAGAGTGTGGTAGGAATGTGGCTTGTCAGGTGCAGTCAATCTGGGAGGCGGCCGGCTGACTCAGAGGTCAGAGGTCAGAGCGCTGAGCTGGCACAGCCGAGACCCTGGGTTCACATCCAAGCAGTCGGCCGTGATTAAACTGGGTTCCCAAGTGCGCTACATTTGGCTATAACGGTTGTAAATGTGATGCCATGTACCTCACTCTAATATACAGAGTGAGAGGGAAAGTGCTTCTCCCTACTCTGCGTGGACCGGACATCACTTGAAGGCATTTCAGAGGTGGCTCTATGATAACCACTTCCGTGGACTGTTCTGCAAAGCGAAGGGGTCGCACTGCTCTGGGGCAAATTACGTGGCGCTGAAATTGGTGGAAGATAACCAAAAGATATATTTTTTTACATAAAAAAGTAAATATCTGCGCCGTGAGCACAAACGACATTTGCGTTGGACCCTTGGGGTCACACACCACCCGGACTGGACGTCTGTGAAAAAGAGCTTCGTCGCTCATCGGATTCCTCGTCCGGGATAAATAAAGATTTTGACTCTGAGACCAGTGGCGGCTCCTGCAAAATCTCTCAGGGGGGGCAAATGTCTGGATGATTGATAAGGATAAGGTCCACCCATGCAATGGATAAATTAACAGCTTAAGCATGTAAAGGCAACTTCACTTCTTTAATATTAATGAAAAATAAAGTGACTCTTACAATACATCTTGTTTGTTTCTATACTCACTATTAATATACAATCCACTCAAGTTTCTTTTATTAAAGATTCCACTAGGTGGCGACAAATTATATTGTTGGATGAAACGTGCTTACGTATGATGACGTAAGCACGTTAGGGCGAGCCTTCCCGGAAGCCATAGAGAATGCATTGCAGCGCCCCCCGGTCGAAAAAAAACATCTTTGAATGTAAGTCTATGGGGCCACTCGGGGCGATTCTCAGCCGAAGTGAAATCGCCCAAAAAGAGGCGGTACTCCACAGAACGTGACATGACGCTGAATGGACTATATCCAGAGGCACAGTGACGGCTAGCGTGACTCTGTGGTTGAATGACATTGGTGGTGTGTCGCCCAATCGCCCTAATGAAGAAACCGCCCCTGTCTGAGACGCGAGTGGCAGAGGGACCCACCCAGCGACACGGGGCTCTCCTGCCCAGAAGCCGTCATTAACGACCCATCACTGCGTTCACATTTCCCGCGGACCTTTTGCACCAAAGACCTGAGTCCCTTTCCAGTCTGTCGCGGCGTGTTTTCGTTTTTGAGTAAACCGTGCCACGGAATGCCTGGAGGGCTGCGGAGGGTGAAGCCTTCTGTCTTCATGCCAGACACACGCGGCAAGCCTTCTCCTGCGTCGCGTGCTGGTGACGTGAGCTCTGCTCACAGCTAATAATATTTTATTTTTATACAGCGTCATTCATGCTAATTGCATCCCATAACGCTGTACATTAATTATATAATACGACCAAATCCTATATACGGCCACTACTGAGCAAATGAAAACCCGACTACCAAGCAAAATTAAAAACGAATAAACAAATTTTAAAAAATGCCACCAAAACAAAAGGCGCAAACAACAAAGAAGTTATCACCGGAGAGAAATGAGTCCATAAAGTCTGCTGCACACCTGAGACCAACAATCAGCAACTTCCCAACCAAGTCGGGAAACCTTCACAGGAGGGGCAGCGGTGGAGTGGCCAGAAAGTTACGACTCGGATCAATCGATCAAATGTCCAAAATGTGCGAACTCGCTGATTAAAATATAAGCAGGCTTACAATTTCAATCGTCACCCCGAACCTCATAAAAAAATAATGATGATGATGATGATGATACTCTTTGGTTCTTTCGGTAAAGTCACGTAGGTATAAAATAAAATAAATAAAATCACGACGTTTCGGGCGCAACACAAGCGTCATCAGGTGGGACAACCACAGCTATAAAACAATTGCTGAAGTCGTGATTTAATTTATTTTATTTTATACCTACGTGCCTTTACCGAAAGAACCAAAGAGTATGGATCCCTGCAGTCACGAAAACTTAAAATCTAGAATGATGATGAGTCAAATAAGTGAGAGCCCTTTGTAAATCCACTGCTGGATTAAGGTCTCCGCATGCCGTGTCGGTCATATGGCTCGTTTCACCATACTTCACAAAATGCATCAATAGCATTGTGGCCCGTGAGAGAAACGTATAAAAGAGCAGGTACATAGAGCGGTCAGAGAGCTATACTTCACCACACCGGTCAGTGCAAGCCGCTGCAAACAGAAGGGGCCTTGACGGGTTCAGATGTCGTTCGCCACCCACGCGAGCCGGGGTCAGTGATCAATCTCGCGTGGCTGGATTCCTAACGCAGTGGGCTTCCCACTGCACCACGGCTCCCCTTCCTTGACCTCATTACCTTAATTAAATTAACAAGTGGTTGAGTGGTGATTCCCGTAATTACCCAATTAAAGTGGGCTTCAAATGAGCCAAATACCGGGTTCATGGACCTTGTTTTTTTATCTTGCATTTGTTGTTGCTGTTTTACCAATCTCCCCAAATGCATCCACGCACCACTGAGTCGAATGCCGCGTTCAGGCCTCTGAAGGCAGCTGGTGGGTCGTGGATGACGACGACGACGATGATGATGATGGCATTAGGGCATGGAACGCCAACGAGCCTCCAAACACCACGGCATTGTGGAATTTCCCTCTGTCGAGAGTTTCTTGTTGTTTGTTAAATCACACCTCCGTGTTCTCAGGGATGGCATTCGCACCGGCGTTTCTTTCCAGGACGCACCTCGCTGACCTTTCCTCCACTTACGTCCCTCAGGAGCCACCGCCCCTCCCTCCATCCATGGCTGCACTTAAACAAATACCCCCCCTCGCCACACCGAGCCCAGCAACACACCTCCTCCCCAACACAGCCGTCATAAACTACAGCCTGCACCGCTCTGCTCCACTCACGCTGTGCCCGACGTTGCCGTCGGCGTCTGTGCGGGGGCCGCAGCGGCCGCGTCAGCGCTGCTAGCAGGGCCCACGGGCCGGAGGAGAGCGCACGTCTGGGCTGCGTAGAGGAGGAGGGGGGGGCAGAAATCGCGCCGCTACCAGGGCCCAGGGCTTAATTTCAGCCTTGGACTGGCCGGGTCGGTGACCTGAAAAATATTACCGCACTCGGCATACCACATCCAGTACAACCTCCTCTCGCTATGGCTGCGGGTACTACGAGTCCACGTGCCTCCCACCTCCAGTCTGTCGGCGGGCCTGAACACGCTCAGGAAGTAGTGGAGCCCTGCCTCTGACACGTGGAGCTATCTGAGTGTGGCGGGCAGTCTCACGCTCTGTCTGCCCCCCCCCCCCCCCCCCTTGACAGTGAGTGTCTCAGTTGTATTCCTCCTGGTTATTATATTTGCCCACTTTTTGCCCATCAACCAACCAACCAAATCCACCACCATCAACACCATGTAATTGTCTCTGTTGCTGTTAATTG